TAAAAATTGATTATATTTAATAACAAATACTTTTAAGTCTCCTCTTACAGTCCTCATTTGCAGTTTGTATAAAATTTCATATCCTCAAACTAGTACATATACATATATGTGTGTGTGTCTGTGTGTTTGTGTGTTATCATTATTACTCATTTGTATGACTATATATAATACTCTAAATTTAACTAAGTTTGACTTAATTTTTATTACTAAAAAAATTTAAGTCAAACTTAGGATTGCATATATCTTAAGGTTATAACTCAATCATAACTGTCATACAACAATTAATAAAAAAGAAATGCTGTACTTTACAACCTTCATACATAAGACAATGCCAGTTACTCTGTAACATTTTGATTTAAGACAACCAAACATAAACTGATAAGCATTCAGGAATAGTAGACATTCATTGTATAAATAATGATTTTCTGCACAAGATCGCTACTTCTCTTCTTGGTTGATACCATTTGTAGGTAACTGATTTGTCCAAATTTGCCTTCCATATCACTTGCTTCTGTCCTGCCTGTACTGGAAGGTCTTATACTCAATGAACCACTTTCTGTCATTTTAAAAAATATTCTGGGCAGCTTAAGCACTTATTGATTGGGAATTTTTATAATGCTCAAAATGGAGGCATCCTCATATCTCTACAGGTATTTAAAATGAATTGAATTAATCATAGGCTTAAAAGTCTCTGGTGATCTTTGTTAACTTCTTTGGGTTTAATTAAAACATCTGTGCACTTTTAATTTATCGATTCATCCAACTCATATGTCATGATTTTTAAGACATCCCAGCACGCTCTGCATCATTTTTAACCCAATTTCCACTTAGCTAAAGCAATTAAATTCACCCTGGATTAATTAAAGCATCCATACTTTAGTGCTTAAGTCAGCGTGTGCTGCTTTCCCACATGGTTTTTGAATATTAGGGATTTGACACACCTGATGAGTTTTTTGTCCTATGATTCTCTGCCTTGCCTGCTAACATGTAGTTTGATAGCACAGGAGAGTAAACTTTTCAGATATTGCATTTGTAGCCCAACTTTCATTAGAATGATGAGAACTTTGAACCTTTGTTCCCAAAATCAGGGGTGTAAGATAATATACAATACAACATTCTGCAGAATATATTGATGGGTAGCAAAAGGAAAGAAGTACGGTATTATTACAAGAGATAAGAGAACTCACAGTTCAATGTTAAATATTTATTTATGAATTTTTATAATGCCTCAATAAATATATGATGGATTGCTATAAAAAACTCCTGAATAATTAGAGAACTTCTACAGTGCACAAATTGCTTAAAGACATGATGTATTCAAGTGGTGGCTAGGCAGCCATTCCCTGGATGTTTTATATTGAACTTTACACTGAAATAGTATTATATTCAGTGACCTAAATGGTTTCATCCAGTGTTTTGATTTTCTGATTCTTGTGTTTTCTAATTATTCAGGAGTTTTTTATAGCAATCCATCATATATTTATTGAGGCATTATAAAAATTCATAAATAAATATTTAACATTG